AAACGTGTGCTGAACTCGGAGGTGTCATGCGTTCGGTACTTGATTGGTCGGATCGTGAAGACGTACGACTACATCAACCGCGTTGTGCTAACGCTTCCGTTTTCGGTCTACGAGGGTACGTGGACAACACTCCCCCCTCTCATTGCTATGCATCACCATGATTTTGCGTGTGCATAGGAAATTTTTGAAATTACTATGTTCCCAACAGAGCGGACGGTCATTAATATGTCCATCCAATGATCAGCGAGGTGGCGGATTTTTTTTTCAATTTTCGCCGGTAGACGCGTAGCGTCACCCCGTCTATCTTGTCTGTGGTAATAGTCATCACTAACCAGTCAAGTGGCCCGTCTAGGAATGAACTTTCATCACTGACCCGAGGCACAGAGGGGCCACTCGTCCATCAGTGATGATATAATTTGAGCATCGATTTTGATATTTTCTTTTAGCCCAGACCTTCAGGATGTCATTACATTAGGGAGAATATCTGGTACTTCCATCCTTGATGTACTCCCGGTGCTCCATGTTTAAAAACATATCTTAAATGTTTCCAAAAATTTCGGAATAAAATGTGAATGTTCGCAAGGAATGTGGCTACAACTCCTAGAAATTTTAGGTCCAAACTCGGAATGTACATTGAGAAACAAAAATGTGAAATCCAGATGTGAATAGTGCCAGTGTTGATTCTGTCTTTTTCTTTACACTATTCATGCAAGATTTCACATTTTTGTTTCTTAATGTGCACTTCGAGTTTGGATCTGAATTTTTTAGTGGTTGTAGTTACATTCCTTGCGATCATTCATATTTTTTTCTGATTTTTTTAAAACATTTATGAGTGGTTTCTTTAAACTTGGAGCACCAGGAGTATCCCAAGGATGGGAGTACCTGATATTTTCCCCACACTATTGGAAAAAGCCCAACAGATGAACTGTAATTAATGGCAGCTAGGGCAGACTACACGTCATTGCTACTTTTCTAAAATAGCAGTGGCGGCTAACATGTAGGACCCGCCACAGCTAATGACAATCCAGTGACAGGCGCGAGCTAGCATCTGTGACAGGCAGGCTCTTCCAAATAAGCCCATGGATGGAAAGTGTAGTGGTGGGCAGTAAGCTAGCGCCCGCCGCTGCTTTCTCATAAAATAGTGGCGGGCACTGTCCGGCGCTTACCGCAACTACATATTGGCAAACCGTGCCAAATAAATCCAAATTTTGGAAAAGTTTCCCTTCCACGCTCGTCCAATCATCCATGATCTGTTTTCATTTTCACCATTTCATTTCTCTCGGCTAGTTCCTCTCCTTTCCCCTTCCATGCCTTCGTGCGCCTCGACCGTCGACACCGTCCCTTCGACCGCGACCGCCGCCGGATCTGCTCGCTGTCTCATAGAGCGTCCAGCTCGACCACCACCGCGCAGTTCTCCGCCTCTACCGCGGCCGCCGTCCTCCTCCTCGACCATCACTGTTGTCCTCCACCTCGACTGCCGCCGCCTTCCCGCTGTACATTCCTCCGCCGTCACGTTCGTGGCCGAAAATGCTGCCAACGGTATACTATCTCCGTGACTAAATTACGCTCTAGGGTTTGGGATTTTAATCTTGATAATTTCTAGATTAAATTATACTCTAGGGTTTCAGCTTCAGCAACTTCAGGCCCGCCCAGTTAATGGACTCCAATAACACTTTCTCATATCGGGAGGTGTCAGAATATTTGGAACATTGCTAAATATGACAAGTGGCAATGATGTTTGAATTTTCTTACATATGAGAAGTGCATGGACTTCATGTTATTTACCGGGATTTAAAAGAGTGACAAAGTTTTGGCAGAATGTTGATTTATTTCCGTTACGCAAATTTTTTGTCACTTAATATGTTATCTTTTTAAGCAAAGTTCATGCCGAATCTCCTTTTTGTCACTCAATATGCATGGCATTATAATATCTCAAATTGTTCAATATTACTTTCACAAGCTTAGCTATGACAATATTGTTTAATTTTCTTACATATATGTGGAGTTGAGTGGAATATTCTTACATATGACAAGTGCATGGGCATAGCATGTTATTCACATGGATTTGAAAAATAGTGACAAAGTTTTGGCGAAACATCGATTCATTTCTGTTTCGCCAAATTTCTATCACTCAGTATGTTAACTTTTCAGGCAAAGTTCATGCTGAATTTCATTTTCTATAACAATATTGTTTAATTTTCTTACATATGACAAGTGCATGGGCTTAGCATGTTATTCATAGGGATTTGAAAATGAGTGTGAATGTTTTAATGAAATGTTGATTAACTTTTGTTTCATCAAATTTCTCGTACTCAATATGTTCAATATTCAGCAAACATCATGCCAAATTTTCTCGAACCCTTCTTAGTCAGTTCCCCTTCTCAATATTACTTTCATAAGCTAGTATTCATGTCAACCATTTACAAGTGCTAAGTGCTTCATAATGATTATTAGGGATCATGAGGCGTAAGATCTCCCATATCTGCAAATGTTATTCACGGGGATTTAAAAAATCAGTAGTAACGGTCTTTAACTTCAATTAGTATTCAATTCTAACCATTTGTATAATTATTTTACTGAAATTATTGTTAATTATTAACTATTGCATAGTGTATCCCATGAAACATAAGGGTTGACTTCAACATTTTTTGTGGTAACGTTATGTACTTTGAGGATGATGAGGACCGCACATTCGTACCGGATGTGCGTAAACAAAAGGATAGAACCATCATATATGGCGATGGATGGAAGCAGTACATTGCAAAGAATAGTTTCATCGGACGAGAGTGCATAGACTTTTTCATGGAAGGAGCGGTCAACAGGTTAAGGACACTCCATTTCTCCAACAACCATGATGAGATTGATGAAGACGATGACCAGGATCATGAAGATAGCCAGGATGACCAGGATGATGGAAGCAACCAAAATGATGTGGACATCCATGAAGATGAGGATCAGCCAGAATGACGAGAATGAGCAAGATGATGAGGATGGTCCATTCCTTTCTGCAATTTTCTCTCAAAGAGTGAATAAGCTTACTCAGGATGAGACCATGAATGTCAGCGCGATGTTACCATCCAGTGCGGCCTTCTTGCGGAAGTCCTTTATGCACCATTTAACTAAAACCAACGTCGTAAAAAAAGTCATGGTGAGATGTTTTGTATTCTTTCATCTTTTTTTGTTCATAACCAAGTATGGTGAGATGTCTAACATTGTGTGCTCTCTATATGCTCTTAATGATGGAGAGTTCAGAAGTTACCTATAAAGATGTTTCCGGAGTGGACATCCCCGCCGTCGGCACCGCTGGAGTACGCCATGGATCAACAGGGCATGCCACCAATGTTCAGTACAAGACGGAATCAGATGGGCGTGTGTTCTTCTATGAGTCCGGTTGGCAGGAGTTCATGACAGGAAAGAGAGAACTAAGGGTCGACACACTTGTGATAATCACCATAAGGAAGAGCAACCGCAACGACTTGCAGATGATGGTGGTCGTTGACCATGTTTAGAAATAAGGTCTAAGTCATGAATATATTAGCCCATGAACTGTTAGTATGCAAGATGGATGTGATATATTGATGTTTGTTTCTTAAGTCAAAACAAATTTGAAGTGTTACTTAATTAGTTTATCGTTTCTTTCCAAAATAAATTAAGTCAGATTTAGTTATATTTAGAATCATATCACTACGTGATTTAACTTTTTGGAAGTAATATTTTGTCAATACGGTCAATAATTGATGTACTCTTTCGAGCCTAGCCATCCAGCGGCGGGTGCTAAGAAACACCACCGCTGCTAACATGGCATCTGTGTTGGGCAAAAAGACCAACATGTGGTGTGCAATAAATAATACCCACCACTGGTACTTCCAGGGGCGGGTTCATATTAGTTGTGATGGGAGGTCAGTGATGGACGGCCCTAAAAGCCAGGCCCGCTATTGCTAGGCTTTTTACGACCGCCACTGCTAGGCATTCCAAATTTTGCATCCATGTCAAACACCAAAAAGGTTTTTCTAACGGTGCCGGCATGTAGTGGTGAAACATCCAGCGTTGGAGTTGTACTTGAGATTCGTGTATGAGAAACAAAATAAAGCGCAAGTAATTATCTTGGGGAGAGAGATCGAACCATCTCTGCATGCAACAATCCGTCCTTGCATGCGATCACACTCTCTTTTCTTACTGACAAACGTCTAGTACCTGAAATTATCAGTTTGTATTCCTACGTATTGCTTTAAAAATTTGTTTACAGAATTTATTACCCAGGTCCATGTGTGATCAGAAACTCCATGTCCAAGAAATCTTGAACTCATCGCCATACTTAACTTACGTACGTAGGTTCCCCGATAATCCGTACGATGCCTTGAACGGTACGTAATGCTGCATGGTTTCTGGTGCACATATATGTATGTATGCGTTCAAGTTGGCCTTCTCTCGTTCATCCAACGCGCCGGCCCTCGGTTTGCATGCTGATATTCAGATCATGGGTTAAGTAGAGCTAGCTAGGGTGTGCGGTACTCCACTGCGTACTCAAGCTGCCGGCCATCTCTTCAAAACCTAGCAGGATACAAGCGTTTAATCTGACCAATTGTGTTGAAAATACGACTACTATAGTAGTACTAATAGTATACTAGGAGTACTATAGCTAAGCTATCTTGCGATGCACTCCAACAAGGCTCCAAGCACCATGCATGTTTCCCCAACGAACCTCTCGTATATCAAGTATGCACAACTTGGCCCATAAAATAAACAACAAATTTGATCCAACGATTACACCACGAACCATCTTATTCATGCATGCAGTGTCATGCAGCTCAGCAAGTACTACCTAGTACCTCACACTGTCACACAAGTACTATAAATCTGCTACCTCTCGCTTCTTGTCTTGGCAACGAATATATCCTAGCTACTCGATCTTGTCCCAGCCAATAGGTAGCTGCTTCTGTCTGCCTAGTGAACTTTTCTCGCTAGCTACCAGGGAAAAGACCACCTCACCGGTCACCACCATGGCTGGGCTAGTGCTAGCCAAGTGCCTTCTTCTGTTCTCCCTCTCCGCCGCGCTCCTCTCTCTGCTCGGCACCGGCGCCTCCGCCATTGGCCTGCCCCAGCCTCATGCGCCAGTGAACTTCACCATCGGCGTGCAGGGCATGGTCTGGTGCAAGACCTGCAGGTACATCGGCTACAATGCCAACATGGACGCCTCCCCACTCAAAGGTCAGCCCTAACAACCCCAACCTCTGAATTCTTTAACTACTTCCGCATCCCATGTGCACGCTCCTTCATTCTGGCATCGATGAAACATATACGTTGTGTGTGTTTGTGCATGTAGGCGTGGAGGTGTACCTGCAGTGCCGGCACGGCCCGGGGCGGCTGAAGAAGGTGCAAGGGGCATCGGGGCAGGGCGGCTACTTTGTCATCCAGTCGGCGCAGATGGCGTCCTTCACCAACGACGAGTGCAAGGTGTACGCGGAGAGCTCGTCGTCGACCGCGTGCAGCCTCGTCGACGAACCCGCTGCCGGCGAGGGGCTGCCGCTCAAGTTCGACTCCTTCGTCAAGCACGGCGATGGCCTGCAGGCGCTCTACTCCGTCGGCAACTTCTTCTTCCGCCCCAGCAACCCCAACAAGTGCTACTGACGCATCCATCCGTCATGTACATACTTGTGGGACTTGAATAAATGGGTCAGGAACTCAGGATGAATTAGTTGTTGGAGTAGCTGGGGATATGCATCCGGTGCTGTAATGTTGATTTAAGTTTCTTCTATTGTTGCAGTAGTTTTGTAAGCTTCTTTTAATTAGCAACCGCATGATCGAAATAACTCGAATATGATTAGGGCAGTGTATGTCCTGTCATGTGATGACTAACCGATGTGCTACAAGGCTCTATGTATAACTAACACTCCTACTTCGTAAGTTCGTTCAAGTCGGATTTATCGTTTCTCCAAGATTGTTTTACAAAAAAGGCATGAAGCCCGACTTCAAATTAATGAAGTCATCAACCAGCTAGGATACAAAGGAACTGATTACAAATGCCAAAATTTAACCAAAAACTGAAATGTCACAGGCAGATTACGCTTGAGACCAGGAGTTACAAGTAGCAGCTACAAACGACATCGCCTACACTAAGAAACCACAGTCAAGCCATCGGAGGGCCCACCGCAGCTAGAGCAGCAGAGTAGAGGCCAACCATAGATGCCAACGAACACAGACGGGAGAGGCTGAACCGCATGGAGAGAAACCTGGCACTGTTGTCGACCCAAAGGGACTAATGTTGGAGAGGAGAACACAGTCTCCCCTACGTCCATGCCGTGCCACTACACGAGGACGTTGTACACAGGCCAACAACCCATGAGGGTACCTGACAAGAGCCACTAAAGGATTGCGGACCAGCCAACTCGCCTCCCACGTCACTGGCGGCCTAGAGAGCAACGCACCACTGCCGCCACCATTCACCAAACACCACAGCCGCAGTCTCTGCCCATCCCTAGGACGACGCCTCCAAGGAGGAACAAGCCGCTGGAACGCTGCCGTTGTCCGGCCCAAAATGCCAAGGCTTTCACCTGGGAGTGTGAGGGAGGAAGCGGGGTGGCGAGATTGGAAGCTCGATGCGCCCACAGGAGTGGACTGGCGTAGGGGCGACAACGCCGTCGAGGTCGACGCGTAGTAGACCAGGGGTTTCCCCCGTTCCAGAGCTCCCGCCACCCCACGCCCAACAGCCAGATCTGGTCGGGCGGGCCGTAGCAAGGGGAGGAGGCCAGGATCCAGATCCGGCGGAGCCACCGGAGCATCCCTCATCCATGGAGGACATCCGCCACCCTACTGCCGCCCACACGGCCAGAAGGGACGGCAAGCTCCTGTGACGCCATCCACCGACGAGATCCACGCCACCATCCCCACCTTCACTGGAGGCCATACACCAGGGCCGGTGGGGTCCTCGTGCGGTGGCAGGGGAGGGAGGGCTCGAGGTGCTAGGGTTCGGTCGCCCACGAGGGGTGAGACTGAGCGTTATAATCTCTTATTAGCCAAATCGTATGATAAGACAAAATCACTAATTAAGGGATACCTTTCACAGAGGTCATCCCATCTTCTCTGACGGTGACTAGTGGGACACTGCATGTGCGACACTTGTGGCAACCTTCGAGTTTTGGTGAGAATTTCCTCCCACGGACGGGAGACATGGTTTTTCTTTCTTTTTCCAAGTTCTATTTTTCAAAAATATTTATCTCTTGAACAATGTGTCCAAATCACAAACTTATTTCTCTGTTGTGTTTCACACATTGAGATATTTGAGACTAGATCCCATGATAGATTTCAATGAACTTCCTTTGGTAAAATCTGTGCTTCCAACCAGTTGTATCTTGTGCTTACAAATTGTAGTAACCCGTGCTTCCAAGTAAATTAACTTGTGCTTCAGTTTTTGGGTGAAGCACAAATGTGCTTCACTTGGGGAAACAAAGAAGCATAGTTTGTGCTTCACGCAAAAACCCCAAAAAACATAAACCGACATAAACCATAAAGAAGAGAAAAAAAGAAAAAACATAAGAAAAAACAGTAAACAAAAAACAAAAAAAAACAAAGAAGCTTGGTTCACCTTTTTGGGAAGCACAGAAGCACAATTTGTGCTTATCCCAAAAGCATAATTGTGCTTCACGCGGACTCACACCTATGCTTCACTTTGGAGGAAGAAATATGCTTCACACAGAAGCACAACTATATATGCTTTTGTGCTTCACGCAAAAAACACACCAAATAAGACAAAGAAACCAAAGAATAAATAAAAAATAAAAAACCTCGAAAAAACCAACCGAAATCGAAAAAAAAACAGGAAAAAATGAAAAAAAAACATAGAAAAAATCTATCCTGCGGGGTGCGGCCAACACACGACATGTGGCGGTGTTGTGGCGCACCACGTGGCAGGTGGAGTGCTCACGTGCGCTTCGGTAGTGTCTGCTGGAAAGCCCCTCGAGGGGGGTACCCGGGGACTAGTGGCTAAGAGCATGCATGGGTAGCTATATTCTGATGCCATGTCATTTGGAGTTACTATTTATCATCACTCATATTAAAAGGTTACTAGTATTTTTCACAACTTCTCTCATTTTCTTCCCCATTTTTATTATATTCGCTTATAAGCAAGTGTAGAGGTGGGCTCTTCTTGAGAGTAAACTCGTCCCATTTTTTCATGTCTCCACTTTACATAGGAAAACATATCATTGTTTGCTGCCTATAAACCCTTATTATACCTGCTCTAACTAATATGCTCTCTCTATCGCCACATGAAGAGTGCAAGTGTGGTCCTATTTTATTCAAACTATGTGTGATAATGTCAGTGTTTTGGGTAGTTTGGATAAACACTTCAATATTCGCCAGAACAAAAATCTATAAAACTCTCAGAAACATCATATGTACGATCAATTAACAAATCAAACTTGTCTCAGCAGAATGCCAACATTTGGTCCGATTATGAATAAGATGTGTACTTACCATCGTCATAGTGTTAATGAGTAAATAAGGCCATGCACTCATTTGCTCACATGACATTCTGGAAGTGAGATTTGTTTGTCTGATTGTTGTTGCCGATTGTTATAATTTGCAGTAGTGCTGGCAACCGGGACAAGATAGGAGCCATGG